CCTTGCTATAAAACTTGTTGATTTTCCTATGGTACAAAATCTAAAAATTACACCTGATGATAGTGATTTATTGAAGGATCCCAGCCAATATAGACGTCTAGTAGGTTGCCTTATCTATCTCACCATCACTAGACTAGATATAGTCTACTTAGTTCAAATTCTCAGTCAATTTATGTCCAAGCCTCGCCAACCCCATCTCAATGTTACATATTGGGTTTTGGTTTATGTGAAATATGCTCTTGGCAAGGGTATAATATTGGCTTCAGATCAATGCCTTTAACTTGAAACCTACTGTGATTCTAATTGGGGTGCTTGTGCAACCACCCTTCATTTCGTCACTGGTTATTGTGTTCTTCTTGGTAACAGTCCTATTTCATGGAAAAGCAAGAAACAATCCACAGTTTATAGATCCTCTGCTAAAGCAGAATATAGAGCAATGACATCCGTTACATGTGAATTAATTTGGTTACAGTGGTTTCTAAAAAATCTGGGCATTCTTCACAAACATCCTATGTTGTTATATTGTGATAACAAAGCAGCTCTTCATATAGCCGCCAATCCAGTTTTCCATGAGCGTACTAAGTATATGGAGTTGGATTGCCACCTTATTCGTGAAAAGATTCAAACTGGGTTGATCCAAACTTCTCATATCAATGCTACTAACCAACTAGCTAACATTTTCACTAAAGCTCTTGGGAGGGATCAATACCGACATATATGTGACAAGTTGGACATTCATGATATTCATGCTCCAGCTTGAGGGGGAGTATTAAGATTTCATGGATCAGAAAATATTCAACTTTCCCTTTTATTTTTATTCTATACTTTTATATATTCAACTTTTCCTTATTCATTTTATTTTCATAATTGTATATCTTTCCTCCCCTATTTATTCAGTTCTTCTCTTTTGTTATATACACAGATCATAAAATAATCAAAGGTAGGGTTATTAGCTTCATGCTATACTGATTGTCTTTCTCCTTTCTTTATTTTTTGCATTATTTTACAGTTTTAAAGTGAAACTGGCCATGTTAAAGAATATCAATATATATATATATTTATTTATTTTGAACTTTGCTAGGAGAAAAACAAAAATCTATAAGCCCCACAAACTAAGCTTAATTTTTATTCATATACATTGCTTATATTCATGGAGAAATAAATAATTCATCAAGTTACTATCAAGCATGGTTCGCAGTATAGGTTACGGTCGCGGTATAGGTTGCGATCGTGGTGTAACAGATTCGGACAAAGTCAATATAAATTGTCTGATACTGATCGCATATCGGGCTTGAAACGATACATAAGTAAATGTATCAACTTTATGTCCCTTAATTTTAATTAACTTCTTACTTATATATTACTTTGCGATTGATCGAAACTATTGGTCTCAGACTATGTAATAATTTCTCTCTTATATATGACTAGGGGTGTCAACTGGGTGGTTTTAAGCTAGTTTTGAATTGGCTAATGACCCATTACCAACCCACCAATGGTGAGTCACGAATGGGTTAGGACTTAAATAGGCGGGTCATAAGCGAGTCAACTCGCTTCAAACACCCTCCCCCCCCCCCCCCCCCCCCTTTTTTTCCTTCGCGGAAACAGAATCTTTTGTCTATGAAAAGATGACAAACATGTGATACTGAAAAAGCAAATTCAAAATGACAAACAAGGTTTCATTTTTTTTTTCCCCTCAAAATGACAAACTGAAATCAAACCATAATCTTATTTTCAAGCTTACACGAAACATTGTTTTGGATATATGTATATATATACATATACATATATATATATATATATATATATATATATATATATATATACACACATATAGTGATAAAGTCTTTAGCACGCTCTACAAAGAACTGTTGTAGGTGTTGTTGTAGGTGTTGTAGCATGATGGATGAGCTCAAGGCAGTAAATCACACTAGAGTTGGGGTTCAAGTTGATTGTGTATATGTTGAACACCAATTTAATGTGTTAGAATATAGACTTCAACGCTATTTTTTCGAGCCATGATTTAAAGTGTTCAGCTCATCTACAACACCCCCCCCCCCCCCCCCCCCCCTAAAAAAAAACATGTGAAAGAAAGAAATATGTATAGAGCAGTTACAGTTATGTTCTAGTAGATATTTCACTTGGGGTATGTTTGGTCGAGCATGATTTAAAGTGTTCAGCTCATCTACAACAATAACACACCAAAAAAAATAAAAATCATGTGAAAGAAAGAAATAAGTATAGAGCAATGTTCTAGTAGATATTTCACATGGGGTATGTTTGGTACAGTGGGAAAAATAAAAAATAAAAAAATAAAAAAATAATAACATTAGTTAGGAGGAACAAAAAGAAAATGAGAGGATAGTGTTAGTTACTTGTTGTGTTTGGTTAATTAATAAAAAAAATAAAATAAAAATGAAATAATAATAATCATGTTTGGGGAAAGAAAGGGATGGAAAGTAATATAATGAATTTACAACCATACTCTTTTTCATAAAAAAATTCTCTTATAGATATAAGGGCAAATTTGGTATTAATAAAATTTCATTAAAAATATTAGATTTCCTTTCCTTTCATTTTTAAAAAGATAACAAAAGTTACCGTTTATGCTTTAATCTTTCCTTCCAAACCCCTCCATTTCCTCTCCTTTTCGTCAAATATTTTATACTAAACATAATTTTTTATTCCCTCCCCCCCCCCCCCCAAAGCGCCCGCCGCTGGGGCGGGTCCATTTCCATTGTACCAAACTGAGCCTTGGGTACTGAACTTCCTTGATGCAATGATGATTGGATATATATATATTGAAAGTTATGATAATTGATAATTAGATATTTGATAAAGAAAAAGGAGAAGATTTTAAAGCATGCCTGAAAGAAAGAAATGATTAACATTTAGACAGTTTAATAGGTTTAGGTATAAATTGTCACCCTATGTATGGCCAAGCTGTGAAGGTCTAAAAAGTATTGAATTGACCTAATCAAGCTGCTATGTAGGTTGGCGCACAATGGTCATATTAGACCATTTTTCCTTTACACAGGAGCCTAGGACTTGGGGTTCGACCCTCTGCTATTGAGCAGCCGGATTAAAGATTCGGTCCTTATATTTAAGTAACATGTATACTTCAAACTTGTTTGGGATATGGTCAGTTTTGTACATAAAGTTATCTTTGGGAATTCATGAACCTATGCAACGTTAGCCTTTCAAATATTAATCTGAGCTGTGAAATACTTTGATTCTCTCTCTCTCTCTCTCTCTCTCAACACACATACACATACACATACACATACACATACACATACGGCAAGTACCGCATCCCCAGAATCGGACTCTAACACCACCATATCAAACCCCCCAACCCATGATTTGTTCGACCTCGATGTGGCTTTGACTATGGTGGGAAATTTAGGAAGTAATGAGAATTATATTGAAATCTCAAAATCAGATTCCTTGGCCGCATCTCATCAAGACATGCCTATTGTTACTGCGGTGGTGTTTGTACGGTGTGCATGTAAGGGTTTCAATCAGGTGCGGTCGTCCCATGCGGCCACGTCTACCATCCACCTTGTATAGCCAAGTGGTTTTTCCTCCACAACTCTTGCCCTCTGTGTCGCTCCCAAGTTTCCGGCCACCAGAAAGCAGTTCTATCACAGTTTCAAACTTTTGGCGTTGGTGTGTAACAGTTCATTATAATAATACACGTACGTTTACCAGATTATATATATTTTTTGTGGTGTTGATCGATATGTAATTTTGATGAAATTCAGAGGAATTTTTAGATTTTAATTAAAATATCCCCTCTCTCCCATAAACATCCTCAAAAGTGTCGATGTATAGCTATAAAAGTAGCTGATATAGTAATTGTTTGTAGTAGCCTTTGGTAGTTTTTATTTTCTTTAATGGAGGAGGGATTGTTGAAGTCCGGGATATTATCATATTATATTCTCTGGAACATCTGATATTTTCCTTTCTAAAATATCAAAGACATCATGTTCAAATATGAATTTAGCTGTTTCTCTAATAATTGAATTGTCTTCAAACAATATTATTTCAAATAATTTTTTTGTGACCGTGCAGGTCAATGAGGAAGCAAAGTTGCTCAAGTACTATGGAAGGCATAAATAAATTAATCAAGGCCACAATGTCAACTCTGAATCATCGTGAGACTTTATAAAAATAAAAACATTTAATTGTCTCGATTCAGCATTTGCAGCTGTCACAATAACATATACAACAAAATAATTCACATCCATCCATTAATTGTTCATGTAGTGCCAAAGATTGACGGGTGTTAGCTATGCCAAGATTTTTTTCAGTGGTTGGCTAACCCCAATGTTTGGCACAAGCAGTGCCTTTTGTTTTATTCCCCTCTTTTTCTTAAGAATGCTTATATATATATATATATCTTGACGACGTCAATTCGATTTCATTTGCGCTATGCCACAACTTCAATCCAAAGCCACACTTTATTTATTATTATTACGTATTATTTTTTATCAACGCAATCAAAGAAGAGTATAATCTAAAACATTTAAAATATAACAAAACTTTATACTAATATGCTATAAAATAATTAAAAAATATGTTATGAAATATTCGAGATTTGTTGGATACGCAATCCAAATATCTAAGAAGTATTTGAAAAGTATCAGATACTTGGTAAAAGATACTTGTTAGAAGTTAAAAAATATATATTTTAAAATTATAGATACATTTAAAAAATATTAAACACATATCCACGAATATCTGTGAAGTACCCACGGATACATTACCCTCCCTCCTAAAAGTATCCGTGCGGCCCTAACTTGGACATAATTGACTTTAAAAAATAAAAGATAATGGCCAATGCATCTTGGACATCCCTAGATGCAGTCTTAGCAGTGGTAGGTATGAATTAAGCAACTCATGGTCAGATGCCATCTTCAAGTCTCCTTGAGCTTGGCCCCCATTTTCATTCCCCCATACTTGCTCATCCTTTAGATGAAAATAAAAAGCAAAAGAATCAATTCTACTGAAAATGTAGGCTACTCAGCATCCTTTGGTATTAAAATTGTCCACGGAGAAGTTAGCCTCATGCATCATTAGGGCATGACAGTTCAACTTATACCCAAATGATTTCAAAATTTCAGTAACCAAGAAATGTATCAGCACCTCAATTCCACGGTCTCAAGATAATTGACAAACACATAACCACCAAAAACAAAAATCAACAAGCCCAGTTTCCTAAGAGTTTAAACAACATATCTGTAAGTTACGTAATGGCCAGCAGTCACAACTTGTCCTCGCTTCATCCCATAATACCTGGCTATTGGATCGGTCACTTGTATTCGAGGTAGCTGGACTCCATCCATCAAATGATAGCAAAAACATTAGAACTTCAGTAAAAAAGCAAAATGATATATTCATGCACAATGCTGGCATTCTAAACTACAATAACACCCGATCATTAACAGCAAGTATAACCATGAGTCCACAAAGCAATGTCGTCCCCATGAGTTAACAAAGCACTGGTTCAAACATCCAAACTAGAAGGAAAAAGTTAACTGAAAAAATATCCCTGACAAAGGGAATCTGACTTTCCCTCCCAAAGGAAAGGGGTGTCGTTTATTTCACCATTATATGTTTATATAAAAAAGAAGAACACTTTGGCTCTTATTTTGTGGGCCCAAAAAGATTGGTTCTGCTATGCTCATTCCCTACCTATGAATCACAGAGGCTTTCATTTATTTCAAATGAAGCTGTCCCCCGCCCCCCTTTTCTTCTATTCCAGCACAGAAATATTTCTATAATTGGATATTGGATTGTTTCTACGTAAGGTGGCAATATGTAAAATTAAATATAATCATAAACAACTAAAATTATAAACATGATGTGTTGATCAAGAATTTATATATTTTAATATAACAAATCTAAACATCAAAATTGCTGATACTTGACCTGTGTTTCTTTCACAGTATATCTCTTCAACAGAGTCTTCTTTTCTTCATCTGTGAGCATCTGGTGCTCGGGAACAAGAACATGTTCTTTAATGTTGACCAACGACTCTGCCTCCTGTATCAATGGAGTGGGGAAAAAAAAAAAAGAATCATCCCACTGACATTTACCGATGAATCCAAAATAAAATAAGGATACCATAAAGAGTTAGCCATTAATGCCACCATCTAGTACAGCATTACAACTTATTGAAAGTAAACTTATCATATAAACCCATAACAGACCAAATGCTTATTTCCAAATTTCAACAGAGCACCAAACGACTTTGAGAAACTGAAACTATCTTGAATAAGTTAAATGAATATCAATATTTAAAAATTATTACTTTGTTTTAGTACTGATTTCACACACTGAGTTCAACCATGGCTGCCACAAATTAAACCATCCCAATTTAATCAACATTAATATCAATATTTTTTTTTGATATGTAAAATGTATTAAAAGGCGTTCAAAAGGAGAACGCGTCCCAAGCTATACAAAAATAAAGCGGAACCTATGATCTCAAAGAGCCCAAAAGGTCCACAACATCCTCAATAGAGGAAAAATCTCTCCCCCAACCCCAACAAAAAAGAGTATAAATAATAGAAAATTTCAACACCCCAATGGAGGACTCCTTCTCATAAAAAAAATCTTCTATTCTGCTCTTTCCAAATGCTCCACCAAACACAAAAAGGGGTTACCCTCCAGAAGACTCTCACCTGAGCCCCTACCCATCGGCCCCTCCAAATATCCAGCAATTCCCGAGAAGTCCGAGGCATGACCCAATGAATACCAAACAGACCAAAAATGAGACTCCAACAATCATGAGCCAGAGGACAATGCAACAACAGGTGATCCACTGACTCCCCATTCAACTTACAAAGACAACACTGATTAACAATAACATGTCTTCGCTTCCTCAAGTTGTCCAAAGTCAAAATCTTATTCCAAGCAGCAGTCCACACAAAAAAGGCCACCCTAAGAGGCGCCTTGGACAACCACACCGTCTTCCACGGGAAGGTAACGCCATGAAAACCAGAGAGGCACAAAAAAAAGACCGGACCTGGAATATCCCCCGAGTAGAAGGCACCCAAATCAGGGAGTCAACACCAGTGGCCTCCACCTCCTGTCTATACAAGAGAGCCAACAAGCCAGTGACATCATCCAACTCCCAATCCTGAAAAGATTGCCGGAATCGCACATCCCAAGACCACCTCCCGTTATCAAGGCGATAGCAGTTAGCAACCGTAGCATGTTTGTCAACAGCAATCCTGAACAGCCTTGGAAACAAAAGAGCCAAAGACCTATCCTCACACCAGGGATCCTCCCAAAACTGGACAAACCTTCCATCCCGAACTCTGAATCTAACATGTTTGGAAAACTCGTCCCATCCTTTTCCAATGGCCCTCCACACCCCCACTCCAATAGCAGACCTGACTGGCCTAGCTGACCACCCTCCTCTCCCCTCCCCAAAGCGACAAGAAATAACCATTATCCATAATCTATGCCTTTCACTGCCGAATCTCCAAAGCCACTTACCGAGGAGAGCACTGTTAAAGGGGGCCAATCTCCTAATCCCAAGCCCGCCCAACTGAAATGGCCTGCAAACCTGCTCCCATCTAACAAGATGATACTTAAACTCCTCTCCACGACCCCCCCAAAGGAAGTTTCGTTGAAGCATCTCAAGACGACCAACAACCGAGGCTGGAACCCGAAAAAGCGAAAGAAAATACGTTCGGAGGCTTGACAAGATACTTTTCACTAACGTAACTTTACCAACCTTGGAGAGAGATTGCTTTTTCCAACCAGCTAATCTTCTCTCGACCCTCTCAATCATCGAGTCCCAACTTCCCACCCTCCTGGCCAAGTCCCCCAGCGGCAAACCCAAATATGAGATAGGGAAGCATTGCGTCCCACACCTTAAAACAGCAGCCAGAGTGTCCACCTCCTGAACCTCCCCCACAGGGACAAGCACACTCTTGCCCACATTGACTTTCAAACCAGAGACAGCCTGAAAGCAAACCAAGACACATCTCAGATACCTCAACTGGGATAGCTCTGCCTCGCAAAAAACAATAGTGTCATCCGCAAAGAGCAAGTGAGAAATCTCCGTCTACTGAATAGAGTCGGGGCCGATCTTGAAGCCCTTGATAAAACCCAAGTCCACCGCCCTTCTCATCAACCTACTAAGAGCCTTCATAACAATAATAAAAAGGAACAGGGAAAGAGGGTCCCCCTGCCTCAAACCGCGAGAACTGCCGAAAAACCCCGTAGGAGACCCATTCACCAACACCGAAAATCTGACAGTGGAAACACATGAAACAATCCATTTCCTCCATCTCTCACCAAAGCCCATCCTCTCCAACAGGTAGAACAAGAAATTCCAGCAGACATGATCATAGACTTTCTCGATATCCAGCTTACAAAGAACACTAGGAGCCCCACTACATAATCTAGAATCCACACATTCACTGGCAATAAGAGCGGAATCCAGGATCTGTCTACCCCCAATGAAAGTATTCTGAGACTCAGAGATAACTCCATCCAAAACCTCCCTCAATCGAGACGCAAGTATTTTTGCGATAAGCTTGTAAATGCACCCAATTAGACTGATTAGTCGAAAATCCTTAATGTTAGACGCACCACCTTTCTTAGGTATAAGGGCAATAAAAGATGCGTTCAGTGATTTCTCAAACCGCCCCGTGGAATGAAACTCATGAAAAGTGCCCATAACCTCGTACCGGACCACCTCCCAGCTCTCCAACAGAAATCTCATAGTAAAGCCATCCGGGCCTGGAGCCTTATCACCATTACAGCTCTTAAGAGCCTTCAGCACCTCTTCCTCCGAAAAAGGACTTTCAAACCCATCTATTTCCAAGGCAGAAATAGAATCAAAGTGAATATCATCAAGACGTGGAGGCTCAGAATAAAGCTTTTGGTAGAAAGAGGCAATACCGCTACGCACCTCTTCCTCCGTAGTCAAAACCGCACCATCCACATACATCCGCCCAATGTGATTATTCCTCCTATGAGCATTAGCAGTTCTATGGAAAAACTTGGTATTCCGGTCTCCCTCTTTGAGCCACAAGGCCCGAGATTTCTAGCGCCACGAAATTTCCTCCAAAACTACAATCTCCACACATTCTGCCTGACAAGCTGCTCTCCTACTGCGTTGAGATTCAGAAAGAACACCCTCCCCTTGTAGTCTATCAATCTCGGCAATATCAGCCAAAGCCCTATTCTTCCTCTACTCCAAACTCCCAAAAACCTCCTTATTCCACCTTTTGAGATTATTTTTCAGAATTCAAAGCTTTCCCGCAAGAATAAAACTCGACGTACCCGCCACTAGGTTCTCCTCCCACCAAGAATGCACAAGTCCCTGGAAGTTATCCGCACAAAGCCACATATTCTCAAATCTAAAAGGAGTGCTACAAGATCTCAACCCTCCACAGTCTAAAACCAAGGGAATGTAGTCCGACGTCACCCTAGCCAACACAGCTGAACAACATCCGGGAACTTCTCTTCCCGGTCACCGGAAATCAAAAATCTATCAAGGCGAGAGAGAGTTGGTGTTTCCCTTCCACTGGACCAAGTGAAAGAAGCTCCCTCAAGAGGAAGATCAATAAGCTGATGACCATCAATAAAGTCAGAAAAGTGCATCATAGCCTGAGTCCACGGACCTCCTGTAGATCTCTCCGCCAGGGACCTAACCACATTAAAATCACCTGCCACGCACCAAGGAAGAGACCACCTCCCCTTCACCCCACTCAACTCCTCTCATAAACCATCCCTCACATCATCATCAACCGGCCCATACACCCCAGAAAAACCCTAAGTGAAACCATCATCCTCCTTCACATAGGCACAAGACAGAGAAAAAATCCCCCTAAAAACATCCACCTTGGCCATCCATCTCCTATCCCATATAATAAGAACACCGCCTAAAGTCCCAACAGAATCTAGCGCCTCCCACTCAACAAACCGATTACCCCACAAACTCTTCGCCACCCGATCAGTCATAGAATCAATCTTTGTTTCTTAAAGACACACCAAATGCACCCCCCATTTCCTCACCGCCATCTTCACCACCTTTCGCTTGCCCGGACCATTGAGGCCATGGACATTCCAAAATAAAAGTCGTAGCTTCATAAGGAAACATTCACCCCCATCACCCCCTTACCCCTTCCTCCTCCCTTAACACTCCCCCTCTCCTTCACCCCCTCAATCGACCTATCATAATTCACATCAGAACACAGGTTTCTAAGCTCCCTTTCCCCTTTCCACGGAGAAAGGTTCTTCTTCTTCCGGCTCTTCCTTCTGGAACATTGAATCATCTCACCCTCTCTCCCCTCTGCCATGGCCTAAAGAATTGCTAAGGCCTGATCACAATTGCCCTTGCAAGAGACACCCAGTAGTTCACTAGTGACCCCAATATTAGCCTTGACCCATTCCTTTCCAGTATCCTCATCTTCCTGTCTACATGCATTTGATCTGAACTTTCCCATCCCAAGAGACTCCTTTTAAGTTGGTGCAATATTACTTGCTTCAAAAAGACATTCAGTAAAATGATGACAGCTTTTCACTTTGTCTTTTAATTTGGTCTATAAATTGGCTAAAAGTAAGATAAAGAGTATATATCATGCAAGCACTAAAGTACCTGGAAAACCTCTAAGTGGAATTTTGCAGATATTTCGCTTATGCACGTACGAGCAAAAGGAGTCAGATTCTGTTGAACGACCAAGATTGCTCGAAAAACATTCTCTGATTTCATGCGATTGGTATTAGTCTTCATTGTCTTTACACCAACCTTCTGTTCCTCAGGGAAAAAAACATAAATCTGATCGGGGGATGGGGGGAGAAAATACAATAAGTGAACAAACCAAAGAACGTAATGAAGAATAGGCATGTATCATGTGGCATACTTTCCATACAGAAAGGAAAATAAACGAAAAATAAAATGAAATAGTCCTCATTTGTGACTTTATTGAGAAGTAAAATATTATGTCAAAGGGTATGGCATCAAGATATGCCCCAAGGTATGTTAAATTGATTACTTATAAAATAAAAAAATAGTATGTGAAATTGATTGATAACCATACAGATAGCCTCCAAAATCAATATTGAAAATTTGAAACCAAATTAACTATTTCCAAAGAAAATTATTAACGCAAGTCTTTTAGTGGAGAATGTGAGGCAAGTATTAAGAGCATGGCGATAAGACACATAATATTCGGTACAAGACACTCGTGCCAGAATATTCTACTTTATAATAGCTCTATATTTTATCGGAAAGAAGTATGGTTGTCATCCCTGTACTCCCCATCAATTAGGTTATTGATTAGTTCAGAAACGAGGGTACATTCATTCATACAGCCCATTGCTTGTTCAGCAATTGCAGAGAAAGAATCTTTAGCCAAGAAGGGTTATCACCCGTTGGAAACATTGATGGAAGGCCATACAGGATGAATTCGCTCTTAATTGGTTCTTGTTATGTCGGTTTGGGATTTTTATTATTTAATTTTTTTCTCCTAGCTTCTCCTAAAATAAAGGAACATTACCCTGTTATGGTCTTGCCATGGGATGGTCCTCGGGAGGGAGAACTCGTGCCACTGGCACCGATTGCCATTTGCCATTAAAGGACTCTTCACAAAAGAAAGAGGGTCGGGCTAACTGAAACCATTTCAAATTTAGAATTCAATCCATTTTCCCTTCTCTATTTCTAAATATAATTTCATCAGTTTCGGAATAGAGTTCACACTCAATTTCAAAAGACAAGTAATTGCCTTTGTGACATGATAAATCAGATTTTGAGACTTCTCTCTATAGACGAAAAATTACTAAATTTTCCATGTAACCTTGAAATGGGGAGATGAACTGAAAGTTGAGAGTATAAATACCTTACTGTTAAGGATTATAGGGTCCAGTGTCAAAGTCACTAATCAAAATATATAGTTCCTTAAAATGACAAGAGAAGACATGTTGTGGTGGTGTGTTAAACTGTTTCATCTGATGACTGTATATACACTAGTCCACAATTCCGTCAGGGAACGAATAATTCAATGTTTATTGGATTGTAGTTTCAGTGCAGATTTCCAACAAAAGAACATCATCTTGGCATCCAATACCCTGGGGAAGAAAGTTGTAATAATTTTTTCTCTTTTTTACTTTTGTATTGTGCACTTATTCTTGTAAACCACAAAACACAAACTCAACTCCGCTATGAAATAACCATTAATTTGCACCAGTTAGATAAAATTTAAAGCCCTAAGGTAACATCAAATTCTTAATAGACCAAACAGGAGGATAGACCAAATGCAAATTTCCTATGTTTTAAATATAACTGTGTGAAGGTTGAAATAAAAATATTATGAATCATAGTATTATGTTTTCACCATATGAGGAGCCAAATCTGCCATAAGGCCTCATGTTTTGTTATCTGCTATTAAATCTAATAATTTCACAAGCTATTAAAAAATTTAAATCTAATAATTTGACAAAAACCATTCAAGTGAAATAAAATATATTATGCTTGATATGTATAATCAACCTCTTGTATATATTTTATGATTTTTTTATTATTGAGAAAATGGGAAATAAAATACATGAAAGTTTATAATACAAGGGGTTTGAATCATAGACTTGCGTGTGATTATTAAAGGCCTTGAGTTTGATATTTTTGCCTTATGCCTTCAACTATATTGAGGAAGCCCTCCTAAAATTGATTATTGGTTGAAAAGGCTTTGTTAACATACATATATACACACACAACAACTACTTTTTCCAATTACTTGGGGTAGGCTACATGAATCCCATGTTTCCATTCCGCTCTGTTTAAGGTCATAATCTCAATCAATCCACATGTTCCCATATTTTTCTTTACCAACTCTACGCACGTTAACTATCTTCTTCCCCTAGTGTCACCCTCAATGAGGAATATGTCATTTTTCCTAACCGGTGTACTTAAAGTTTTATGCACTTGTCATCCAATTTCTGTCAATTTATCTACAACTGGTGCTACTCCAACTGTGATAATTTCTAATTGTGTCCTTTCTAGTCTTACAACATATCCATCTCAACATTCGCATTTCCAACACATTCACTTTATGCAAATGTTGTTTCCTAGCTGCCCAACATTTAGTACCATAAAGTATGGCTGGTCTATAATTGTTCGATAGAAATCCCCTTTACGATTGAAAGGGATACACCTATCACACAATATACTAGATGCACTTCTCCATTTAACTCATCCTATCTTGATTCTATTATTAACGTCATCTCCAATTTCTCCCTCATTATGAATAATTAATTGAGCCAAAATATGTTCACTTTTTTGTATCTCTTGATTCTCAATCCTCACTACATCGGCATTTGTCTTCTAGATTTACTAAAGTTACACTCCATATATGCAGAGCATTATTTCGATTTATCTTAAACCCTTTTAGTTCTGAAACTTCTCCCCAAATCTCCAATTTGGCAGACTCTTTCTCTAATCTCATCAACTAAAAAAAATAATCAATACGAAATCTCATCTTGGATGTGTCTTGGTAGATCAATCCACAACCAAGGTAAGAAAGAAAGGACTTAATGCTAACCCTTGGTGTAAGCACCCAGTAATTGAGTATTCTTTCCCCTATAGGCTTTCTAACTTTAGTAACACAACCATCATACAAGTCTTTTATTGTGTCAATGTATCCCTTTGTGACTCCTTTCTTTTCGAAAACCCTCACTATTAGGTCTCTAGGTACTTTATGATAGGCTTGCTCCAAATCAACAAAACCTATATGCAGTTCTCTCTTCTTCTCTCTATTTTTCATTAGTCTACTCAATAAGTAAATGGCCACTCTTTAGTTATGTGACAAGGAGTTCTTGCTCCTATTCTGATGATTTAATAACTTTTTTGGATTCTTTGGGGCCTTAGTCCCCAGTTCCTTTTATGTTTAAGGGACGCGTTCCCCTTTTGAACGCTCTTTTTAATTTATTATTACTTATCAAAAAAAAAAAAAAAGCAAATGGCCTCCATTGTTGACCTATCCAGTGTGAATCCAAATTAATTCTCCATCGTTGACCTATCCAGTGTGAATCCAAATTAATTCTCCAACACTTTTGTCTCTCGTCTTATACGTTCAATCACTCTCTCCCAAAGTTTCATAGCGTGAATCTCTAATTTAAAACCACGGTAATCATTACAACTCTGTACATCTCCTAAATTTTTATATATAAGGATTAGAATAATTTGGCACCACTCATCCAGCATTCACCTAATTGTTATTATCTTATTTAACAATTTTTTAACCAAGACAAGTTAACTTCTCCTAAACACTTCTACATCTCAATGTCATCGGGCCCTAAAGCCCTCCCCGATTTCATCTCCCTTAAGGCATTCCTAAACTCTCACTCCTTGACCCTACGGGAAAATATGTTCTCTCTAACATATTCTTCTAAACCTAGACTTCCTATATGGTTTTCATTTAGCAATTCTCAAAATAACTTTTCCATCTTTCTTTAATTTCATCGTTGTTTACTAAAAAGTAAAATCAGTGAATCTTCACTCTTAATACATATAGATATTAATATATATATATATATATATATTTATGTTTTACAGAAATTACGTTTTAAGATTATGCTTTTTAATTTCGTGCATAATTACTAGTCATATATAAATATTCATTTATATGACAATTATTTCTAATTTCAATAACCAAATATATGGATATTAATACATATGGATATTAATCTATATATATATATATATATATATATATATATATATATAGATATATAAATTTATGTTTCATAGAAATCACATTTTAAGATTATACTTTTTAATTACGTGAATATTTACTAGTCATATATAAATATTCATTTATATGAAATATCTGGGTTATCCAAACAAAAGAATTTAAATTGGAATTCGATTATAAATGATTTCCAAAGTTGATCCCAACAACAGACTTGGTATTGAATTCATTAGATTCCAATTCCAATAAAATTCCATTACGATTCCAATTCCACAAACCAAACGCAACCTTCAATTTTAAAATGGTTTGATCTTGAGCCTCATTTGTTTTTTGAATTATATGTTAGCTATTGCTGCTAGGACCTGTTTTTTGTATGTCCACTGACCCCTTTGTGCCTCTTAGGCCCTGTACATTTACTATAATCAATACAATTAATTCAACTTCCAAAAAAAAAAAAGGAACAATTGAGTTGAAAATAATATTCCTTTAAACTTGAAGATATCTAAATAAATAAACCTGATCACCACTTTCAGTGCGCTTGTTTTTGCTGATGACAAGGTCCTCTCTTTTCATGTTTTCACCGTATTTCTGAATAAACTGTGGTTTGGTCATCTATAACTCATAGTCCGTCACAAAGTACCCCCGGTCCTTCAGCATTTGCATTACCGTTTTCCGGATTCTATAAAGCCTCGTGATCTCTTCTTCCGATGTAGACATTTTTACACTGATTTGTCAAAACAAACCATGTAAAAGAGAAACCAAACAACCTTCTATAAGAATTGTCCAGACGAGAATGAAACATGTAATAACGAATCAACAGTCCAATTTCAAATGTAATAATTTAACAAAATTAGAAAAAAACTAACTCTATCATCGATACATAATAGCTAACAGTGCTAGGCCGATCAATTTCCCAATAAAATTGATGAGCAAATTAAGTACAGATTAACCAAACAACCATGTGCATCTATCTATCCATCTATATACATAAAAATCTGTTTGTTTTCTTCTTGACGAATTTTCATCAAACAACAACAAACATAATAGGAGATGCATTTGGACGGAGATGTTGCCGGAAAGTGAAAGTTTATAGGAAACTGCCTAGGGAGAAGAAGATGGCGAGGGAACAGAAAGGGGAAAAAAGAGAGGAAAACTGGGAAAAAAAGAAGCTGTGAAGAAGAAGATGAGAGGGAAAAAAACAGCCCTAAATTGTCGGAGAAGAAGATGAAAGAGAACATACCAGAGAGAAGTTGGATTGCCGCTGGAAGTCTGGAATCACAGTCGCAATCGCACACCAGAGAGAGAGAGCCCTAAATCATCAACTGAAACGTGCACAATGAGAAATAATGAAACATCAAACACAGAAAAATACTAATTAAAAAGTAAATATAATCTGTCGCAAACCGATGGGTTTCTCCAAACCCTAACTCGCCCCGTTAAGGAAATATATATCTTGATTTTAAATTGATTAAAAGATTTTTTTTTTTTTTTTTTTTTTTTTTTTTTTACTGATGACAACAAATTACAAAAATAAACAAAGAAAGAGAGAGGCGGAGGCGGATTACATTTTTGAAGCTAGAAATTGTCACAGATTCGATGCCAATCGACGGTCAGAATGATCTACAACACAGACGGAGAGGGAGAGGGAGAGGTTCGCGTATTGTGTCCTTGGCTAAAGGCCAGTGGGGGTTGAGATTGTGAGAAGGCGGTGATGGGTCTCTAAACAGCGAATAAGGATTGAAATTGGGAACCCTACCGCTATGTTATACTACTACCCAGTACTACTACCTAGGAAGCACGGACACGGATACGGGTACAACACGATACAGACAATACGGCAATTCTCAAAAAAACAGGATACAGACACGGCAAGGATACGCCAACTAAAGAAATAAATAAATATATAATATTATACATAAAAATATATATATCTTTTATTCTTCAACAACACAATAATTGTACTTAAAGCAATTATGCAAAATATAAAAAAATTCTTTTTTATTTAGGCAATCAAGCAATGCTACTTTGCTAGTTTACCACATAAAACATCTTTACTTCTTAGACACCCATCCATTTATCCTTGGGCTTTTACATTACCCATCTATTAGCAGCATTCAAGGACTATTACAAAACCATACAATAAATGTAAATAAAGCAATTATATGGTCATCTTGTTTACTCAAATCACTAGTGCCCTCCGGAACACTCATCTTCCTAAAAAAACAAACAGAACAATGTAAATAATAAACAACGACAATATATATATATTACTGATTAACAGTAGGCAATCTAAATTAAATTTATAAACTAAATCAATTCAAAAATTCAACTAAATAAACACATATAGATATTCAAATCATAAACAGAACTAAAATGCAATTTGCTAATAAACTTTGCAACCACCACAAAAAAAGAAAAAAAGAAAAAAAAAAAAAAGGAAGGGAATAAAAAAGCATATTACTGACAAAAAGAATCCAATCAGAGCATGCAATTCACAAACAATCACCAAAATTTAAATTCTAAATGAAAAAAAAAATCCATCAAAATTTTCAATCAGGGCATGCAATCCACAAGCAACAACCAAAGTTTTTCTAACGAAGTAAAAAATAAAATGGACTAAAGAGAAATAGAGCGTAGAATGAAGAAAAATCCTTACTATAACCTGACTAGGGCGGAGAGATTCAACATGGAAACCCTAACTCTAGAAGTTGAAATGAAAAATACCTGGTTGATGGTTGCAGAATTCTCCACTTTATCTTCTTCTTCCTCTTCTTCTAACTTTCTCTGTTAAGTTAGAGAGAGAATCGCTGCTTTCAGAGTTCACGCCCTTCTTCGTTTTGGGTCTATGCTTTGGGGCTTTTTAAAAACATTTTTATTTTATTACAATTTGACCCTATTTTTTAAGATATAAAGTTTTTAGTATTACAAATTTACAATCTGACCCACTTTATAAAATTAAAAATTACAAAATCACCAATGAAGTAACCAAAAAGTATCCTAAACGTATCAAGGTGTATCCTAACCATATCCAATATTCAAATTTTTATTTAAAAATTGGATACTTCCAAGCCGTATCGGATATGTGTCCTTGTATCTTGATCGTATAAACACTTGTCTGTCATAATCTGACCAGCTTTATAAAATTAAAAATTACAAAATTACCAATGAAGTATCCGAAAAGTCTCCTAAACGTATCAAGGTGTATCCTAGCCATATCTAATATTCAAATTTTTATTTTAAAAAATTGGATACTTCTAAGCCGTATATCTTGGCTGTATCCGTATCGAACATTTGTCTGATACTGTCACAGGACCTTTTTCGGAGTATATGTGTTTCATAACTTGTAAATGTCTGTTCGTGACTAGACACACCACTTCACATCCATTAGATGCAATGGTCCATTGAGTTGCAATGATTCATAATTATTTATCAAAAGAGATACATCTCATGTTCTGAAACCAAAACAGCCAAACGTATTGGTTCAAATGGGTTACACTAATCCAACATATACACCACTTCGTAAAAACTGTGGTTCAATTCACACACGTACACCACTGTACTCTTTACATAACAACGGCTCTTGAATGTATTTATCTTTATCACGTTGTAACAATTGACATTCACCATGTAGTTTAATGTAATACATAGATACCCAATTACATTCACGTTAAACTACGTTTAATTGGTGGGATGGATTGAGGAGGGATGGATGAGAGGTGGGATGGATTGAGGAGGGATGGATGAGAGGAGGGATGGATAAGGCTTTTCGTGTTTTGTAATACCCCTAATTTTTAAAGGATAGTCCTGGAATTTAATTTAATTGTTTATGTGCATTTTTAATAAATTAATCGATTATTTGCTTGTTTGCCTTATTATTAGAATTACTTGTTGATTAATTTATTTAACTGTGTTTTATTTTTCTTTAATTAAATTAATTATTTTCTTTTATTATTATTATTGTTTTTTTAATTGAATTGTTTTAATTGGGTTAATTATTTAAAGGTGTAAATTGGAGTTAGGGTTTTAGGTTTCACGGTGTAGCCGACTTAATATTTAATTAATTACACGGTTTCATTCTTGGATTACAAGTAGAATTAGGGTTGTGTTTTAAAAACACACACCCCTATATAAATAGATGTATAAGTTCTACCTAGGGTTTTAAAAACCCCATACACGTAGTGAAAGGGTAAAGAGAAATAGAGAGAAGAAGTTGAGAGAAATAAAGAGTGAACCTTGAGAGGTTTACAAAGGGGTTCAAGGAGGAAGAAGTGGAGTGCTTCTGGGTTGAACCAAGAGCACCGGAGGAGTAGAACAACAGTCGACGACGTTGACGGACAACTCAGAGACTGTGGAATTAGAGTTTCAAATCTGAAACTCAAAGGCAAGTCTCTGTTCTTCTCTATTCCGTTAATTCGTGTCCTGTGCATGACTAGTTAAGACTCCAAGGATTGAAACAAGGATAAAACGGACTTAAATAAACTTTATAATAAGTTTTATATGCATGTATGGATTTTGTGTACTCTCGTGAATTAACTGTTTTGCAAAGATTGTTGATATTCTGCTATTTGTTCTTGCTGTGATTTACGGTTAAGCGTTATTTTAATTAAGATTAGTAGGATGGTTGGATGTCTTGAAATCACTCTAAGACTGAGTTTGAACTCTAAAAGAAGTGCTTGGAACATTATTTAATTTCACTAAGTTAATCTGAATTAAATCTGTTGTGAGTTGTTTAAAAATTTCTAATGGAGGTTCTGTAAACGTGGCTGTAAAACTTTTGTTCCTATACATGTTAAGATTAGAACTCAGTGGTTTAAACTTATTTAGGACTAAGATTGAACCTAGGCTAAGAATTGGAACATATCACAGAGGCTCTATAATCACCAGAGTTGGAGAAGACGAAGCTGGAACGGGCAATTACTGCAAAAAGGGGATGGAGCAGGCTCTAAAATAGTTTAGAGCCGGCTCAAAGGCAAATGAGCCGGCTCAATGCTGAAGGAGCCGGCTCTAACCCAAAAATGGAGCAGGCTCAATGTTTTAATTGAGCCTGCTCTTTCTTGAAACGCACTAAAAGGAGTTTTAAGGGCTGGGCTGCACAGTGTTTTCTAAAGCTGTTTAAAAGCTACTGTGAAATGTAATTAAATGTTAGGGACTTAAATAAATATTGAAAACATTTAATACAATAATGGTTTAAGGAAAGGAGCAATGACCAACTCAAATAATGGCTATACGTTGCACTGTTTTTGCTAGGTTTATATGACTGGAACTTGGCAAAGTTTTTATATATAATTCAATTATATATAAACCTATATTTTTATAGTGTTATAAGTATGGTGAATTAATTATATTTAACTATACTTATTTTGGATTTAATTGATATTTAATTTGTATCAATTTATCGGTTGTTTTGAAGGACTTAAACACTATGATTTATTTTAGCTGTTTAAATGATTGGAGCATGATATTTAGGTTTTGTAATGAATACCTAATATTGATATATGTATGAATATTTAACTATACTTAGTTTGGATTTAATTAATATTTAATTTGTTTAATTTATATCAATTTATCGGTTGTTTTGGAGGACTTAAACGCTATGATTTATTTTAGCGGTTTAAATTATTGGAGCATAATATTTAGGTTTTGTAATAAATACCTAATATTGATATATGTATGAATTTATACAAATGCATATTCTGGAGTATGGTTGTTGATTATAAAATGTCGTTTTAATAACTATGCTATATGAATGATTTGTATGTACCAAAATGGGACGGTGACATACTAGGTATGGATTAGTCAAACACTAAATCCTACCTAATTTGGATTAAGGTATGGATTAACCCTATGAGTTAAGTCCATCACCTACTTGTGTCATGTCAACAAAATAGTTGAATGACTTAATATGGTTTCAGGACGGATGGATATACATATACCAGACCACCACACAGATGGATGGTATTATGTACTAGGAGGAGTATGGACTTTATATATTTATTATATATGCCATGGTATGAGCTTGAGTCTCAGGACTATGGTTAGGGTGCGTATATCGCCTATGATGGATAGCTGGACAAAGGTGTTGTTCCCTTGTAGGTCTAGATACACATGACCACAGTATATGCGATTTGCATGTATCTCTATTCAGGCTGAGACAAACTTTTTTGGACTAGTGAGCGTCTTATAGTGTGTACTATATACACATATGGACTACTCTAGATATTGTTGAGTCTTCCTAGGATGTATCTGCGTATCAGATTATTGTTTGGATTGTAGTAGATCAAGACTTGCATGTGGGCCTGACCCACTCCTTTATTTTTCAGGTGTTCATCAGTTCCAGGGTTAAAGTTTGGACGAGCAGAGCAGATACAGACTTCCACTCTACCGATGACGTAGGATTTCTTTCCAGATGTTCGATTTGGATTTTATCTTCAGTTTTTACTTTCATTTCAGTTTGAAGTTTCAATAGGGGTCCACTAGAGATGGATTCCCGAGTTGTATGGATTGGAGGAGTTTGAATAAGTTGGTTTTTAATTAGTTTAAGTTGATGATTTTTTTTGAATTTAGTATTCTTTCAGTTTTAACTTTTAGTTCTTATTCACTTTGTATTCCGTGTTCGATTTAAAATACTTCAATTGTTTGATATCTCTCGGGTTTGGGCTCGGACCTGATCAACCCGCGTCTCGGATCCGAGGGGTATCACATGTTTGGTTGGAGGGAAGGGAAGAGAGGGAGGAAGCAAGGAGGGATGCTTCATCCCTCATTTCTTCATGTTTTTCTATCCTCCCAATTTTGGGGGGGAGGGAAGAGAGAGAAAAACTACCAACAATATACAATTTCCAATTTTAACCTTTAAAAAAAAAATCAAATGGATATCTACTTCTTATTATTTTATACAGTGAGGATATATTGGTAAAAAAATATAAAAAATCTCTTTCCCTTCCTTATAACCAAACAAAAAAAAGTACTACCACATCCATCATTTCTACTATCCATTCCATTCAACCAAACAAAAAATCGAGGAGACACCTTCCATTCCCTAGGGATTCCTCATCCATCCATCCCTCTATCTCTTCCATCCATTTTTTCATCCCTCCAATCAAACGAAGCATGAGTATTTTTACCAATTTCATTCACACAAAACACTAATTTTTCATAACTAATTTCCAACATATTCATCGTCAAAAGAATTCTAATCAATAATAATCGGACACAACACCATCAACATATTCATCGGCAAAAGAATTTTAATCAATAATGATCGGACACAAACACCATCAACATATTCATTGTCAAAATATTTTTAATCAATGATCGGACATAACACACATGTTTAGTAAATGGGCACATATTGAGAGTATACTAATGTCTCACCCATCCCCATAATGTGGATCAAATACACAACTAGAAGCAAAATTTAAGGATAATGGTTATTTCTAAGTCTATCTAAGGAGAATGTGCCAAAAAACTTAGATAAAGATTCTCTATCATAGGAAAAGAAACTATTTGTTGTAGGAGTGTGCACCGAACACACCCAACCCAAGTTATTCTCTTGTTGTAGTTTCATTTTATTATTAGGTTTGAATAATACTATTTTGTAGTTATTATTATTATTATTATTACTTTTGGAGGGTTTGTTTCATATAAGATTCCAAAAAAAAGGATAAATGGGTATATATATGAGTCGAGTATTAGTCTCACCTAATAGTAGTTTTTAAGTTAGATTACTCACCTGTTATAATTGATATTATAATCACATTAAGTCCTTTATCCGTTGTGTCATGCCAAATGTCCGACGAGTGTTCGGATATGACTTTTTTCAATTGAATAAATAAAAGTTGAAAAAAAAATGGAATAAATAAATAAAAATTGTATCAATTGATAGTTTGAATACGGCATTTCAGGAAGAGTAGTGCTATTGCGAGCGCTGTCACGGGCCTAGAGATTTGGCGCAGCGGCACGGCCCGTGCGGCATCAAGGTGTTGCTTCAGTTCACGCAAACGTCCTGGTCAGCCACCACGACCTGCGCTCCCAAGGATACATGCTGATTGGTTTCGACCTACCTTGGTCTCACCAGGGAAACGACTGTAGCTCCCGACCAGTTTGTGTAGGGATGGCCAACTCCCTTCTTCATAGTCAAGTCCACGACTAGCGACAAGCACCTCGAACTGAACCGAGTCAACCTGCTTGAATTCTGAAGAGGTACCATCCTGTGGTCCTGCACGCCCCTTCCCTGGAACCATTTCCAGTCAAACTCTGCTCTTTACCAACCACCATGCGTGTCTTTCATCCTCCAAGCGTCTTAGGAATCACTTCGTGACACTCTCCCCCACCCAAATCCTGCGACGCCCTCGTCGCAGTGCGGCGCTTCACCACTGCGTCCACTCCCTTCCAAAGTCTGCCTCCAAGCGGTATGCTCGCCTTCCCACCATCGCTTCCTTGTGCAGCTCCCTGCACTGCACTCTCCCAATGATAGGCCTCGGACCAAGGGGACGTCCACTCCTCAAGGACGTGACTCTTCTCCGTCATGCCGCCTCCGCGACATCCCGAGCAAGCAAGGGCCTCCTGCCGACTTGATGCTCACCCTTCACCATGGTTTGCATCACCTAAGAACTAAGCACGTACTTTGGTGCCCGCGGCCCTCCGGCCTTCCAGTGCGCAACTTCAACGGACGCTTCTTCCTGGGTAGATGGAGGCTCTCCCCCCAACTGCATTGATTCCTCCTCATCGATGCAACTTCAGTGCACCGTCTTCATTCTTTGACCCTTCCCGGACCGACAAGGGGGCACCCCACCGTGCTTTATCCCAAGTCCTGCTCTGATACCATTTGTCACGAGCCTAGAGATTTGGCGCAGCGGCACTGCCCGTGCGGCACCAAGGCGTTGCTTCAGTTCGCGCAAGCGCCCTGGTCAGCCACCACGACCTGCCCTCCCAAGGATACATGCTGACTGGTTTTGACCTGCCTTGGTCTCATCAGGGAAACGGCTCCAGCTCCCGACCAGTTTGTGCAGAGATGGCCAACTCCTTTCTTCATAGTCAAGTCCATGACTAGCGACAAGCACCTCGAACTGAACCGAGTCAACCTGCCTGAACTCTGAAGAGGTACCATCCTGTGCTCCTGCACGCCCCTTCCCTGGAACCATTCCTAGTCAAATTCTGTTCTTTACCAACCAGCATGCGTGTCTTCCATCCTCCAAACGTCTTAGGAATCACTTCGTGACAGAGCGCTCGCAATAGCACTCACGAGCACCCCGTTTTTAGCCATAGGATGTGTTTTCTTGAGATTCGGAAATACTAAAGAAACTCCATTTCTCTCTCTTCTCACGCCGTTTAACCTCTCTCTTCTCACGCCGTTTAACCCAACTTTCTCCTACGTCACTTTAGTTAATTTTTTATTATTTTTTTATGGGCTGGGTCATCTTCTCTCTCCTCTCACTCTCTACGTTCGCGAAACTGTCGTACAAGCCGCCGGCCCTCTCCTCACCATACTCGGCTAGCTCATCTTCTCCTTCATCTGGTCCAAGTAGTGAGGGCAAACTAGTGGAAGAGAACCCCTATACATCCAAATTTCCTATTCTTCCCCTTCGTTCTATTTGCAGACCCAAAAACATTTTTTTCTCTCCCTCATCCTTTTTCTCTCTCCAGATTCTGCAATCACACCGTTCATATCAGACCCAATTTTCATCAGTAAGAGAAGATCCTTGTGAAAAGGGACGGAACGGGGAACGACAGAGGTGTCGGCACAAGCTGAGAACTGGAGTGCAAAATCTGAAACTTGAGTGTCGGGCAACCTCGAACCGCAAGAAGCTTACCGGCGAGGAATTGCAGAGAGGTCCACGATGGCGTGGTTGGAACTTTGCGCCGGCGAGCAAGGATTTGAACCCGCAGCTTGAGAGAGAAGAGCAAGGAACCAATTAACTTTACCGGCGAGGAATTGAATCAGTAAGCCAATTAACTTTCAGAATGGCGGTCTGTAGCTTAAGAGAGAAGAGCATTGTTAAGTGGCTTGAAAACGGCGAACAATATTGATTTTGAAGAACCAGAGAGAACACCGGAACCAGTCAGAGAGAGAAGAGGCCAAAGAGATAACCATATCTGTCCGGCGAACCACCGCACCAATTGATTTTTTTTTTTTCTTTTTTGGTCTCTCCTTCAAAACATCCATTCTAGATTCAAACTCATTCCAAAGTTGAAGACGCACTACAAGAAGAAGATGAAAAAAAAAAAACCCATGCCCATGCGAACAGAACATCCAAGGTAGAATTTTACAGGCCCCATAATTTATTCTCTCCCATCACATAAATTTCAATGATGAAGGGAGAAATTTGGTGAGATGGTGCACGTGGATTTGGGTTACTCCGGTCGGTGCTGGCAGCGCAGTGTGAGTATTGCAAAGAGCTTGAAGGAGTAAAAGAGCAAAGGGCCGCCGGTCATCAGAAGAGGATTTCAAGAGGTTTTTAGAGAGTTGAGACAACAGGAGCCAATTAACTTTACCGTTTTAGAGAGGTTTTTTTTTTCTTTTTTTCTTTTTTGAGAAAGACCTAGAAGAGAAGAGAAGAGAGGAGGAGAAATATAGAGGGAGTCATCTGCAGAGACGAAGAAAGAACAGTGGGTTTGTTGAAAGACACATGGAGAAGAGAATATGTTTTGCCGACAGAGGAGAGAGAAGAGGAACTGTGCTGAGAAAGTTGGGTTAAACGGCGTGAGAAGAGAGAGAAACAGAGTTAGTGTTCCCGAATCTCAAGAAAACACATCTTATGGCTAAAAACGGGATGCTCGTGAGTGCTATTGCGAGCGCGTTGTCACGGGCTTAGAGTGTCGCCTGCGTGGCACAACCTCCATAGGCGGGGCGTGACAGCGCGCTCGCAACAGCACTACTCTGCTTTTTTTTTTGGTTGAATGGAAGTGCTCGCGCGCTTGCAACAGCTGTTGAATAGAAGCGCTCGCTCGCAATAGCACTACTTGCACTCGCAATAGCACTACTCTGCGTTTTTTTTTTGGTTAAATGGAAGCGCTCGCAATAGCAATACTATTGTTTTTTTTGGTTGAATGGAAGGCCAACACTTACATAAGAATAAATTTTTCGACAACGACATCGTTGTTGACTAGTCTGATTGCCCCTCTGCGAACAGGAACCAAGAACCAACCTACCTCTCTCATACACACAGACAGATATAAAGTGGTACTTTCTTATACGTATACTACACTAACACACGCATAGATATATATATATATATATATATATATATATATATATTTGTGGATTCGAAAATGGGGAATTCGAGAAAAGAAGCCGTACCAGCGTCTACCCAAGTTTCTGCACTCAATTGTGTCGATCTATCTTGCCCCGACATCCAAACTTCTGTTTCTTTACTCAAACAGGTACTCTCTCTCTCTCTCTCTTTGGGCGATGTTGAATATTAGCAAATTCATGAAGAAATAGGACAATACAAGGCTAAATTGTTGATAGTCGGTGCTATTGTAGATTTTAAGTTGGGAAATTCTGTTATCGAATTTATAACATTTTATAGAAGAATTTGTTTGTCTTGTTAATTTTCTCTGATTTAATTTGCATGAATACTTCTGGATGAGGTTTTTTTTTTTTGGTTTCCTTGTGATATGTGAAGAATGTCTCTTTTAGTGAACTATGATTCTTAAGTTGTAGCACAGTTGTACAGACTTAGGAGTGTAGTTGTTTATACGTCTCAGAGGTTATTGGCTTAGACCCTGTTTGAATGTCCTTTCAATTTAAATGCCCCCATTTCCTTTTTACACTTAATTTACGTATAAAGCTATCACCTTGAATACGACCATTTGAAAAGAAAAATGTTAAAAATTTTAAAATGATATTTTTTTCAAGGCAACCTTATTATCATGTGCCAAGAAATAAGGTGAATTTCTTATTTTTTTTTTCAAGAAGATAGATTTTCGTGTTAAAATGCCTTACAAATATGAATTGGACCATTCGAATTAAGGGAATGTCCAAGCAGGTCCTTGTTCTATGCAGTCTAAGCTAGGGAGGTGGTTGTTTAAACATTTGATTAATTTTATATGTACCCCTTAAACAATGATTTCTCTCTCTCTCTCTAGTGTCAGTTGATTAGAACTTGATATACATTGTTATTCCTCCCATTCGCTAACAGTTTTGCGTAAGATTTTGGGGGTAAGTTTTTGTTGAACATGGTATTGAAGCTTTAATACTGGAATGTTTAGTGTTCAAGCCTCTCTGTTTGCATTTCTATCTAAATTTTCTGTTTGTTTATAGTCCGTTCTGTGTCTGCCTCTTCAAATTTGAGAGGGAATTACATATAAGGGAGAGGATAGGGTTTAAATTACATTGTTAGGTTAACTGCTTATCAGATTAGCTTTAGGGGTAAATGGTCATCTATCAATTTGCTTGCTTCTATTCTGTTTGCTCATCCTTCTTTTCCTTTGTTGTTCTTCAGGCTTGCTTGGATTCTGGGTTTTTCTACGTAATTAATCATGGAATCAACCAGGAACTTATGGATGAGGTCTTTGTCCAAAGCAAAAAGTTCTTCAATCTACCAATAAGTGAGAAAATGAAGCTTCTTAGGAATGAAAAACATCGAGGCTACACTCCTGTTCTAGATGAACATTTGGATCCTGATAATCAAATAAACGGTTTGTTCTACTACCATTTTTCTTATATTCCGTGCCTGTATGAATTGACAATGTGGCATTAAGCGTAACAGGAAGTAAACAGTCGATTTGTCCTTGAGTGTAATGCAAATTCTTAAGTGAAAACTGTTAAGCGTCTATTTGAAAATGGGAATGCCAAAAACTCAATACAAAAGAATTCATTCACACACGAGGGAACACATCATGATAATGTATGTATGTTTGTATGCATTACGCTTTTAGTGTAGGTATATCTGTACCTATGCATGTGTGTTGTATTACCTTCCTAGCATTTAGATGCCATTCACATCTTTCTTTTGGCTAAATTAGGTAATCCTCTTATTGTTGTTTAAGTGGATCCTTTTTCCTTCATTGTTTAAACTATATAGTTCATACTGAATTAAAATGCTGATGTCCTGCTGCATGGATACAGGAGATTACAAGGAGGGATACTATATTGGTGTTGAAGTACCCGAAGATGATATTGACGCACACAAGCCATTCTATGGGCCAAATGTGTGGCCTACCACAGGTAACATACAAAAACAGTCTTACCAAACAACAAGGTTACAATCTTAGTATTAAACTCAGTTCATGGTCTCTCTCTCTTATCCTCCCTATTTTTATCTTGGAGAAATTTAAGCATGTTATAGTTCAACATGGTGTTGATTTTTGTAAGTTCATCCTCTGAATTTTTTGGATGTCTGAAAGATATCTTGCATGGGTGGAGGCAAACTATGGAGAAATATCATCAAGAGGCACTGTAAGTTCTGTAAAGCCTATATAGTTTATGGAATAAAATTTTCTGATACTCTAACCGAAAAACATACTTCTCCATGTGCTATCAAATGCATAAGAAACATTTCTCTTCGAGTAGGAGTCTCATGTTTAGACATATTGGCAGATACAAGGCATGAATATTCTTTTCTGATTGTTATCTATGATAAGAACACTTCGTTGGCATATTAAATATCTGCCTTGAATGGTGTCTTTGATAATATCACAGTACGGGGAAAAATTTTATCCACATCAATTTATGGGACTTCTGTGCATATTAAAGCATGTTTGCATGGTGGAAGGTTGTTTTGAAGTTGGCAAACTTGGCACCAAACTATTAACGTAGGGAAGTGAACTGATAGCATAGAGTCAAAGACTTCAGGAGAAAACTCATTCTTTTTCCTTTTATCATCCTGCAGAAACAACAAAAATAACAACCAAATATTGGGAGAATACATTATTCTATAAGAATGTTTGTAGAGTGCATTTTACTTTATAATCTGCATTTTCCATAATAATCTTTTATATATTTATGTGAATCCTTTATATTTGAGCTTAAATATTTTGGTATTTTGTCAATGACAGAAAGTAACATCACATAGGCAATATAGCTTTTAGAAACCCTTATCTTAATAATTGAACATTAAGGTCGACACAGTAACTTTAGCAACTTGAATTTAGTTTTGATAGCCCTCTTAATTTGGGCATATACGAAACCAATCTGAATAGCAGTGTTTTGTTGAGGCAGTGATGTAGTTCCCACTAGAAGGTTTGTTTAATAAATTAAATGGGTGTCCCAATCCTGTCAAGTTTACATGGTATTTTTCTCTATCTTTATTCCAAACTTTTTTGGTTCTTGTTCTTCCAAATCTTAATTTCTTTTTGATGGTTTTTCTTTATAATGAATGAATGACTTTTAGATGGTTTTGAATCTAAAGAATAAAATGCTCTGTGTTTTATAATTTCTTTCACCTCATTTTTCTCATCATCTTTTATATGCATCCAGTGGGGTGGTAAAAGCAGTTGCAAGGATCATAGCTCTTGCACTTGAAATAGAGGTTGACTATTTTGATAGGCAAGAAATTCTTGGCAAGCCTATTGCAACCCTCCGCCTGCTACATTATGAAGGTGGAAATCAAATTTAATGTCCTGGAATTCGGTCATTGATCTCACACTGTATGTTGATTGATTCACTTATATAATGATGATTGTCTGGTTATTCAAGGTCAAATTTCTGATCCTGTGAAGGGAATATATGGAGCGGGTGCACATTCTGATTTTGGTTTGATTACCCTCTTGGCAACAGATGACGTCCCTGGTCTCCAAGTATGGACAAAGCTCGAAATTGGAACGTTTTTTATCTTTTGTATGCTGTGAAAAGGACATCTAATATTTTGAATTTATAACAGATATGCAAGGATAAAGATGCTAAACCTCAGATATGGGAATATGTTGCACCATTTAAAGGGTGAGTTCATGAAATTTTCAGACCATTAGTTTGTGAAGACAGATTTACATACTTATATTTTCTCCAGCTGTTTCAATTTTCTGGTATGTCATAGTGTAGTAACCTTTCATATGCATTTATTGGTTTGTTTTGTATGATGGTATCACACATCACAATATATAGTCAGACATTAACTGGTAGCAGGGGCATGCTTATTCTGGACTTGTTCTGCTCATCTACCCTGTACTATTTTATCTTTACATTGTTTTGCGCAATAGCATACCATCCCTTCAGCTTTTCATTCTTCGTTATTATGGAGTGAATTTACATAGAAAAAATCGCACATGAGAGCTTCTACAAATATAATATAGAACGAAATATCTTCCTTTTTTAGTTTAATTGTAGTGTCTTACTGTCTTTATGGTTTACATCTAACTTCTCAGAGCATTTATAGTAAATGTTGGTGACATGCTGGAGCGCTGGAGCAACTGCCTTTTCAGGTAATGTGAATTTACCAAAAGTATAACTAATTTTCAAATTTTATTTCTGTCCCATCTGAGATTGAGAGATAAATGGTTGACTTAGGAGCTTGGCAACAGTGCTTCTTTAGAATTTTCATCTGCACATGCATGAATAAATATCAGTTAATTAGTTATCCCTTTTACAATTGTTTACATGGTTTGGTCATAATGTGTAGCTGTGGCTTGGGGTTATGTTAAGGTTTCCTCATTAAATTGGCACAGATATGTACTGTACCTTCTAACTGCAACAAATTAATTTGCCTCGTATTACTCGAGATGTTCATTATTATTATTATTATTATATCATTATCTGCCACACCAGTGCCACTGTTGATGTTGATCTTATCGTAACTTGCTTGCCCTTAGAGTCACTCTTCATAAGATTTCAAACTACCTGGTGGCTGGGGTTCTTTATAACATTAGTTTCCATTTCATTAATTTTATGCAGGTCCACATTGCATCGGGTATTGGGGAATGGTCAAGAGAGATATTCTGTAAGTCCATTCAGACGCTTTTGAATGTTGTCTAAGTGCAACATTCTTTGGGGAATTTATAATAATGAATTTGTGCCTCAGTTTTGCTATATATACTCAAGACACGCCAAATTCATATACTCAATCCACTTATAAGTTTGCCCATATTAAAAGCATAAAGGAAGAATGGATTTTGAGTGTGTAAGAAGCATTCACACAAACACACACATTCACATACAAACAGCCACACAATTGTATGAAAATAACACAGCCAATAGAAATTTTAGTTAAGACTTTGGAAGGAGCATATCAATTTCAGATTTTCTACATCATCAAAGAGGAATACTCAATTAGTGTCTGTTAAGATTTTTCTTCTTGTTAATGCAAAAACACTCAAAATCAGAGATGCGTCTTTTTTTAAGATATGATGATGCGAATGCATTGTTGCTTTATTTTACTAAACTAGTTTTTGGTAATTCTGTAAATTAATTGTGTCTTATATTTGTTTGTGTAGTATCTTTTGCAGTTCAGAAATCTGAGTATCAAGTTTCTTAATTCGTGTTGAGGGTATTTGAGGCTCTATCATGGCAGAATTGTAATTACATAGATAGAAAAAATAAAATTTCTTAAGCTGCCAAGTGGTGAAGCGCATAACTCAATTTTCGAACAGGAAAATCCCTTAATATTAGAGGTTCTTGTAACTTTTAACACATTTTTGGTTCCACATGCAGTCTAGCTCAATTTAATTTCTTCTTTTTATTTGTTTTCTTTTTTCCTTTTTCTTTTTGGGCAGATATGAGGAATGGCTGTTACTCTTGTATCTTAAATGTTTTTAGATTCTTCTAAACATTTGTTTTTAAGCATTTGCGAAAAAAAAAAAAAAAAAAAAAAAAAAAAAACTATCTTTTGACTGACTGAGACACTACCCAAATTCTTTGAACCATGGTAGTGTAGTGATGTGCATGTCGAAGGCATGAATTGAAATATTTTACAGTCACGGTGCAGGTAGTCACTAAAAAGATTCATCTGCATATCTTCCAAGATCCCAACTGGTTTAATCTTCTTTTTTTCCCCCCTCGATCCAACTGTGGAAGAGTTGTTCTGCTTATAGATACAAGTATTGGCATGATGGTTTCTGTGACACCAAGGAAGTTAACTGGGTTGCATTTAAATTTGTTAGTCTCCTTGTAACTTTCCTGAGCTTACTTTATTTGGCTGGTTTATATTGTGGATCAATCCTATAGTTGTCACAGTTGGTTATCCTCTTCATAATTGTCAAACTAGTTCTGTAATTGACCTGACCATACACTTTATAGTCTGAACTTGTGCCTACTAGCTCATGAGTTTAGACATTTCCGTCAATACTTTTCCTTATACCAGGACTTTGCATTTTGGTTTAATTTTTACCACTATTTTTTTTATGTTATTCTTTTAAATATTCTCATGCCAGATAACATATGCAAAGGATTGTGGTTTACATTTGTTTCCTTCTTTCTGGCGAGCAGATTGCTTACTTTGTGGAGCCTGGTCATGATTGTCTTGTTGAATGTTTGCCGACCTGCCAGTCAAAGGAGAACCCTCCCAAGTAAGTGTGGAACCACAATAATATACTTGAGCACAATTTTACTGTTCATAATTGCAACTCAAAGTCTTATTTCATTCGAAAGGAAGTGTCTACTCTCGAGAACCAGTTAACGATCTTGGGCATCACCCAAAAATATCTTCGTATAAATGTGTCTTTTATTTAGTTTTTTTGTAAATTTCTTATTGAATTGCTGTAATTCTATTAAATGATGCCATAAAGTGAAGTCTGTTTCAAGTCTCTCTCTATCTCTTGTAGACAAGACCAGTGCTACATAATGACTTTCACCTCTTCTCTGTCAGATTCCCTCCAATCAAATCTGAAACATACATGCTCCAGCGTTACAAGGATACTCATGCTGATCTGGGTAGATACCAAAAACACCAAATTTAGTTGGTAAGTATTTTGGACTTGTTGCTTCAGAACAGAATGTAAGCATGGAGTTAGCTGCCTTCTGCTAGGGTTTCTACAAAGATTAAATGTTCTAGTGGAATATTTGGCAGATCTAAGAAAGTGTGTGTTAAACACCAAGATCCTTTTTTTTTTTTTTTTTTTTTTGCTTACAAACGTGTAATCGCACATTTATTAAGGTTGAACACATGCATATATAATGTTTACATACTTCAGTTACTTCTAAACTAAGGATATCAGACAGCATTTTGTACTTTAAGGCTATTTGGTAATTCTATTGAGTCCAGGGTTTAGTTTGTGTTATGTTCAAGTTCGTTGTGGTGGTCAAACTAGTCAGGTAGATTTGGATTCCTCGGGTTATGCTCTGATTAGGCTCTAGTTACACTTGGATTACTAATATTCGAAAGGCGTAGATATTTTGTTTGGGTATTTTCTAGAATTTGAAAGCGAAAACTCTGTTTTTTATCTTTATTTGGTGTACCTACCAGAACTAGTAGTCATACTCTGCTTCATATGAACAGGACCAATACCTTAATCATGTCTATGCAAGACATTGGAAGAGAGGAGAGCATTCCTGAAGTAAATAAGACTGATCAAAGGTTTATTTGTAGAGTGGAATTGTGAAGTACAATATAGGTAATAATACAAGCGACCACTCGACAAGGACTTGTCAAAAGGAAGCCATTTTAAACCACACTCTTAAAAATAGTATGCATGCAGCTTATTAATATACATTCTGGAATTGACAAAGTGAAACACACTTTCATAAATCATTACTGTGAGGCTGGTTGATTTTCCTTGAATCTACTGCTGAAAATATAAGACGGGAGTTTGGACACACTTCTTGATGCAGTAGTCCTCGAGATCTCAACATATACTGTGATTATTGAAAACCATTACTCGGTAGCTTCTAAAGTAGACATCGTTTTCGACCAAAAAAAAAACCTTATTCCCTCCGGACTCTAATATCATGATACTCACAAAACCACAGATTACAACACCACAAGCACTTACAACAGACAAAGCAACAAGATAACAGAATTTGAAGTACTAGTTTGTTGACAATTAAGGGACCATTCACCGGTAAGTTCTGTAGTTAGGAGTGTACATGCAGCGTTCGGCATACTTCACCAGATTCTGAGGTTGAGGAAGATGTGTTGCCACACCTGTAGAACATGTATGATTTATCACAATATATACCAGAAAAAACAGCAAGTTCGGAACCAAAACAGAACAAGAAAAAACACTAACCAAGTTCATATGCTTTAGCAGCTACATTAGCGGCAATAGGTGCCGACATCTTTCTGATATTAGAGAATGGTGGGTAAATCAACCCCTTATCAAAGTTCTCCTTTGAAACTTGTCCAGCCAACGCTTCAGCTGTTCAAAATGAGAAAAATGTAATCACATGAATGCATGATCTCACATGATGAGGGAATAAACAAAACCAAGGTATTCTCGGAATATCTTATTCAATGGATAAAAAGAATATCACGGCCGTTTCTCTGGATGATTTAAAACCTTGTGCAGCTCGAAAAAGGAAAAAAGAAAGAGAAGAAAAAGGGTATTTTCTATCTTTAATCAGCCTGAGTAAGTCGTATTCAAATAAGAATGGGTCTCATCACTGTAATTTATTATGCAAGATAAATTTGTAATAAATGTAAATAAAGCAATTATTTGCCCAAGGATAAATGGATGGACAAGATAAATTTGTAAAAGCATACAGTAAATTTGTAAATAAAGCAATTATATGGTCATCTTCTTCACTCAAATCATTAGTGCCCTCCGGAACACTCATCTTCCTAAATAACAAACAGAACAATGTAAATAATAAACAACAACAAAAAAAAATAATAATAAATATATATATATATATATATATATATATATATATATCTTACTGATTAACAGTAGGCAATCTAAATTAAATTTATAAACTAAATCAATTCAAAAATCCAACAAAATAAACACACAAAGATAATCAAATTATAAACAGAACTAAATCTCTTTCTGATACTGTCCTGAGTCCCAACAGAAACAACCACAAAAATGCAATTTATAAGCTAGTAAACTCTGCAACCACCACAAAAAAGGAAGGAAATAAAAAAGCATATTACTGAAAAAAAAAAGAAAAAAGAATCCAATCAAAGCATGCAATTCAGAAACAATCACCAAAATTTAAATTCTAAATGAAAAAAATTTCCATCAAAATTTCCAATCAGGGCATGCAATCCACAAGCAACAACCAAAATTTTTCTAACAAAGTAAAAAATAAAATGGACTAAAGAGAAATAGAGAGTAGAATGAAGAAAAACCCTTACTATAAGTCTATAACCTGACCAGTGCGGAGAGATTCAACATGAAAACCCTAGAAGTTGAAATGAAAAATACCTGGTTGATGGTTGCAGAGGTCTCCACTTTTTCTTCTTCTTCCTCTTCTAACTTTCTCTCTTAAGTTAGAGAGAGAATCGTTGCTTTCAGAGTTCACGCCTCAGGAACGACGTCGGGGTTTTGGGTCTTTGACTCTTTGGGCCTTTTAAAAACATTTTTGTTTTATTACAATCTGACCCTATTTTTTTAAGATATAAAGTTTTTAGTATTACATATTTACAATCTGACCCGCTTTCTAAAATTAAAAATTACAAAATTACTAATGAAGTATCCCAAAAGTATCCTAACTGTATCCTAAACGTATCCAGATGTTTCCTAGCCATATCCAATATTCATATTTTTATTTTAAAAAATTGGATACTTTTAAGCCGTATTGGACACGTGTCCCTGTATCTTGGCCGTATCCATATTGAACATGTGTTCCATACTACCACGGGACCATTGTATCAAACATGGGACCATTTTCAAAGTATTTATGCTTCATAGCTTGTAAGTGTCTGTTCCTGACTAGACACACCACTTCACATCCATGGATGCAATGGTCCAATGAGTTGCAATGATTTATAATTATTTTATCAAAAGAGATAGGTCTCATGCTCTGGAACCAGAATAGCCACATGTAATGGTTCAAATGGGTTACACTAGTTCAACATAGACACCACTTCATAAAAACTATGGTTTAGTTCTCTCACACACACACGCGCGCGCGTATAGGGGTGGAGCCAGAAAGTTAAGGTTGGGGAGTCCAAATTTGAACTATGTAACAAAAATTAAAAAAAAATTATTAATCAATTGTATATATACCTTGAGAAAATAAAAAAAATGAGAAAAATACAACTTAGACAAAAAAAAAAAAAATGATGTTAGAAAGAAAATTATGGAGAAAAAACGTAAAGAAATAAACATTATTAGAAAATCAATTTTCCTTTATTAATTGTTTCAATTTTTTAAAAAAATTTATTTTTTTGAAGAAGAAAATTAATTACTTTGATTCCACTTGGGAAGGATATACATAGATAAAAAATTAGAAAAACATAATGAATTTTAACTCACCAACGGATGAGTGGCCTAACGGTATTGGCCTCTTACCTCCCAAGGGAAGTCAGAGGTTCAAGTCTCAGAGTCGTATGTGTGAGTAAAAAAAAATAATGAATTTTAATTCAAAAAAATATTTTAAATTCAACAAGATTATTATTGAGTTGTTAACCAAAATACAAATAGTTATAAAATTTGTTATTTAGAAAGTTATACAAATAGTTATAAAATTTGTTATTTAGAAAGTGATAACTAAAAATATTAACATATATGATATTTTATTATTGTTATTGATAGTCTCATAATACTTTAGTTTATCTTCTTTCCAAATGTTTCTAGGACTTACCAATAAAGATTGTTATATAATTTTAGATATTTTTCTTGTAAATCCTATTTTACAAAAATATTTAACAAAAAATTCTTCATCCATTTTTACTAAACATGGGGGTATATTAGTTATTTTATTATTCTTTTTTTTTTTGTTTTTTTGTTTTTTGTTTTTTTTTTTTCTCTTGAATTAATATTATAAATATTGTACTCGTATAACAATGTGTTGCGATAATGACTATAATAATTACTCGTATTTACCAAAAGAAAAAATTATTATAATAATAATGAGATTAATTTTTTGTTTCATAATATTTGAGCTTTTAGAAGTATACTTAAAAGAGTGCAAGTTGAAAAAATTTTAAATTTGAAGGAGACAAACTAAATTTATTTTCAAGTGTTTTTAAAAACACTGGGGGACCAATTGAAATTTGTAATAAATTTTAGGGACAAAATTTACAAATTAATTAATATTTAGGGATAATTAATAGAATTTTCAAAAAAGCGTGGATGGCCATTATACGTGTTAAAAATATTAGGGGGCTAATTAAATTTTTTAATAGATTTAGGGACAAAATTTATAAATTAATTAATATTAGAGATAATAAAATATATTTCAAAAATGTTTGGGGGCCATGGCCTGCCTCCCGTAGCTCCGCCTTTGCACACATACGCTACTGTACTCTCTTTGCATAACAACGGTTCTTGAACAAGTATTCATATTTATCACGTTGTAGCAATTGACATTCACCTTGTAGTCTAATGTGATACATGAATACACAGTTATATTAACGTGATTTGTCTAACAAGACTATATTTTAACAAATTTCATTCACACAAAACACTAATTTTTAAAATTAATTTCCAACACATTCATCATCAAAAGGGTTTTAATCAATAATGACACATGTTTGGTAAATGGGCACAACTTAAGGATACTAATGTCTCACCCATCCCCATTATGTGGATCAATGGAGCCATTAGATACACAACTAGAAGCAAAATTTAAGGATAATGTTTTTTTTAAGTCTTAATAGTCTAATGAGAAGTGTGCCGAAAAATTTAGATAAAAAATCTCCATCATTGAATAAGATACCGTCGTAGGAGTGTCCACCCAACACACCCAACACAACTTATTTTCTTCTTGTAGTTTCTGTTTTATTATTAGGTTTGAGTAACACCATCCAAAATGTAGCCCCACCAAATTGGTTTGTACTAATGGGACAAGTGTAACAAGGTCTGCTTGTTCTGCGTCGAATTTAAATAAAAAAAGTGAATGAGTATATATATGTATTGAGTATTATTCTCACTTAATAATTTAAATTTTTAAATCGAATCACAAAACACTTACCCATCAAAACACCCCATTATAATTAATATTAGAATAAAATTTAGTTATTTATCTGGTGTTAAGTGTACTATCAATTGATATACAGCATTGAGGGGGCAAGGTCAACGCTAAACTTAATGTATG